ATCCGGCTCTGGTCATGAAGGCTTATTGACCCAAGAAATAACCCAGAGCGAAGCTATGTAAGTCCATAAGCGTCCCTGATTGAGAGCATGAAGTGTAAGCTTATGAACACACAATCTTGTAGCAGCTGAAGCTCGAGAATGAATAATATTTCTCTCTAAAAGATGGCATAATTTGGCATAGCCTGATTGATAATAATATCACTTTTCTGAGGAATACATTTTTATACGGAGACAATTTAGTCAAAAATAGACAAGCTGAGGCCTTTTCTTACGTGCAAATTTTGCCTTCATGCCCTCTTTCCAAGAAGATAGGCGAACTAGTAAGAAAGTGGGGGATAAAAACAGTATTCAAAAAAACAAACATAGTTTCTTCGGTTATGCCTTCTTTTAGAGAAAATATCGTAAATTATCAAGCTTCGGTTACTACAAGATTGTGTGGTCGACCTTATGTTGGTGAGACATGCCAGCCTATACACCAAAGATTAGGGAAACGCAAATATGCTTGTAAATATGGGCCCAATGGTCATAAGTGGCCGAACACAAAACAGAAACCGGACATGGGATAGAATGGTCCCAAATGAGTAGGCTTACTGTTAAATGGATGATTAGAGGCCATTGAAATTAATAGATTAGGAAATGCGTAAATATGAGGAACGGTGGTAGAAAGTTGCGTAAGAACTACTTATGCTAGATTGAGGGTGAGAGAGAGTGTTGAGCAGTCGTCCAAAAGAAGGCGACTCAACTTGTTCGCTAGTGGATCTAACTTCATTCACACTCGTTCGCCAGGTTGGATTAAGCTCACCAACCAAACGAAATTTAATGGCAAGGTGAAATCTTCAACGTATTTGGTTATGGGAAGCTTAAACATCAGACCTGCCGTAACGTAAAGTGGCCTAAGATGACCCCAATTCTTACTTTGTATTAACTTGCAAATTATTTAGAACAAGCAGATTCTGGGATATTTTTAAACAAAAAAAAGCCGTCATGGTATATGTACTTGTTGCTTCCGATGCTTCAGGTGTAGCCGATTCTGCTGATGAAACTGGTGCTGAGAAAGCCGACCCGGTTTCCGGAAGTCTGACCATCTTTGGACATGAGGCTCCCATTGCTTCACTTCCAATTTGTTCGTCGTAAATCCAGCATCAGCCTCAGCTTCCAGACAGCCATCAGGTAGAAAGTTGCGTGAAGGAGCTCGCTCAATGATCTTCAAGCCCCAGGTCTGGCCCGATGAGGAACTGGCTGAGTGAGCGCCAAGCAGCCTGAGGCTATCAGCGTGAGATGTCGAAGCAAAGGAGCCCGGAGGTGAAGTTAGAACAGAGAGCTTCCGAGAAGCCAAGCTGATGTTGTCTTCTTGAACTCCTCGGATTAGCCTCATTCCTTCAGAAACCCTTTCCAATTTTTCCTCCCAATCACATTCCTCCTCATTCATATCCGGCACGTGCAACGCCGGCATAGTTGCCGACTGGCGCAAAACGTCTGGATTCCAGGTTGAATGGATTCCGTAACTCGAGGAACCGAATATAAGAGGCATCGGTTGAGACAGCGAATCGTCCTGCGACACCAAGGGCTCAGCACCATGTTCCAAGGAGATGTCTGTTGTGATAAAGCCGCAATCCGAAGTGGCCACTAAACATACTGCCTTATTAGACTCTGATATCAGGACCATGACATAGAAGAGTATAAAAAAATAAAGAAGTTGACACGACTGAACATGCTCATGGCAATAAAACAGTTGCTTCGATGACTTTCAGAGGATCTTGTAACTAACATTTTTATGAGGTCTATCCATGAGAAATGTGATGGAAAAAAATTTGCCTACCAATTTTCTATGGTAGTGAATATCCTTTAAGTAAGGGTCGCGATCCATTATATATATACATATATATATATATAAAGCAATGTATATTGGTAATGCCTATAGGGTAATCTCAATGCAAGAAGTACCTCTAGCCTGTGGAATTTTCAAGCACTCGCATTGCGTTAAGTTTGGAATCAAAAAAGTTACACACTGAAAGACTGGAGAAGCAAGGAGTTTAATTGTGTAGGAGGCAAAAAAAGAAAAGAAAGGTGAATGAAATAATTAAAAGGAAAATGGGAAAAGAGAAGCATACTAATTAAAAGTATAACTAATTTATGAAAGTTTAAAGGAAAATGCTAATAAATAAAGAGAAATTAAAACCGAATCAGCGATGAAGGTCGGTGCAAAAGATGGCAACAGAATATTATTTTTCGCTTGTAAGTAGGGTTTCGAGATTGCCAGTAAATCAGCTATAAAAGATGTTTTTCGTTTAAGGTGATAAAGGGCTGGTACTTCGATTTTCCTACAATCATATGAGGATCTTACGGGGTAAGAGAGAGACTGTGGTAAGACCTAGGGAAGGAGGACCGCGTAGCAATAGGGCAGACTCTGATCAACATTCCCAGCACAAAGATGGAGGGGGTGGGTGAGAACGACAGTTGGAGTGTGAAGGCTCCATGTTGCTTAAATGAGCACACCACACTATATCTAAATAAACACGGTCAAAATTGTAATAGTGAAGGCATGATAGGAGCGGGAGATACCATAACTGTTTAGCACACGTTTGGTCAAAGCATCGGCTTCACTTGTCTCTTTGACGAGTTGTTGTATGGTGCTAAGAATGGCGATACTCACTGACGATGCCGGCGAAACGTTTGTAAATGTACCACGTCCACGGTTCGACTTTGGAAATGATCATGCAGACAATGCACTCCGGACTAGGTGCGTTCTTCTAAGTCTTCCTATCAACATGACCATGTTGCGAAAACAAGGTCAAGCAACCTCCATATGAGTAGAGTTGACGTTTCCATTGAATTTCACAGTCTTGCTTTCCCAAAAGTTCTCATACAGGGTGGACTGCAATTTCGATCTTGCCTAGGTCTTATCAATATGTCGAGAAAACACGCTGCACTGTCATGGTTCGAGTCCCGCTGGATGTATTGATAAGACATATGCGAGGTCTAAACTGCAGTCCACCCTGTATGAGAACACCTTTTGGGAGAACAAGGCTATGTGAAATTCAGTGGAAATGTCAGCTCTATTCACATAATTGTGGGAAAATTCAACAACCATTCTTTTATCATCCTAAACGAAATACGGTGAATACATCTCATATAGCAGAATGTTATATTTTCAATATGTAGAAAAGGAGAGACAATGACGAATGGAAACTTTTTTAAGACATAAATAGATAAAGACCATAAAATTTGACACAAAACAGTAGGCTGAAGGGATAGAAAGAATTTTACCTGATGATCTATGAAGAGGGTTGCGTGGCCCCGTCGAAGCATGTGAAGAAATGGTCGTTCGATTGACTATGAAGTTGGCTGATCCTGGATAGCCTTGGTCGCCACCGGTGGGACTCGACCCTAATCGTTTCTGAGATTTTGATGAATCTACAAAGCTCCCGGCCAGCCTTTCTTTGTGTTCCAAATGCGCCCCAACAAGCAACTGAGCATATC